AAGAGACTATCCAGGAAAAGTGATAATGTGGTAGTTTTTCCATTTGCTTTCCACATCGCAGTACAGCAGCCGTTCAAACCACTCTGGTCACGCCTGTTGCTATACGAACTTGAACCATCTCGAGCATCATTTGCTCTGTGCTTCAAGTCGCTACTGATGACGCTGCTTCCGGCATCAGTTTTTGGTGTCTCTCTTCGTCTGATGCCTACCCTTTGACCTGTCCAGCAAGGGAGGCCCTGCCAGTAGCTACGCTACCGCTGGTATAGCTCTCAGGGTCCTGGCATACTCAAACCCCCTCACCACGATAAGGTGGAGACACCAACGAGGGAGACAGAATATATGGTTCTATAAATATTATGGCACATACATTTTCGAAATTTATGCAAATTCTTTTAAGTTTAAGAAAATGTACACTAATCCATATAAGTGCTACTTCTTATGTAGTGTTTCGTAAAGATCTCTGATTTTCAAAGAATTGCTAGCACAATTCAATTCCGTTCAACCGACAACATACCCTACCGTTTGAACCATTCAGAACATCCAGGACCCCTGCAATCACTCTACCATCTACATGTTATCTACTCCGTTTGCAAAAAGCATTCCATATACACACATCATAAATACAAGATCTGCTATATAAGCACATGTTTGGTACGATGTAGTTTTATTTTCCAGCAACAGATGACATATCAGCTCACGTAGAAATGAATGCGAAATTTCTGTATGAACTACATACCGACAAAGGAGTTGTTGGGATTGAAATGGAACAGATAGGTTAAAATTATTCCAAGGCTGGAAAACTTGACGGTATTGACAAGTAATTCAACAAGGGTACTAATTTGTTTATTGAAAGGTAATTCTATGAGTTAGGAGGTTGACTCTTCTTACACGTATGTGTTAGCCCGTTAGAGATTAGTTTCGTTTGCTGCAGTACACACATACCAGGCTGGTGATTTATTGGAGGTAAGGGTGATGCATGCCGATCACAGTAGCCGCGCGGTCTAAGGCATGAACCATCTTCGCTCGCTCGGAAGCTGGGATCTTGGATTCGAATCCCACTCAAGGCGTGGATGTCTGTATATGCGTTTATTCTGTGTTTGTGTTGTTCTTTGTGTAGGTAGCGGCCTTGCGATTGGTTGATCCTCTTCCAAGGAGTCCTATTGATTGTGTATAGGATCGAGAAACTGAAAAATCGGCCAACGTCCAAAGGTCTGTAGAGTCATAGGGAAAAAAAATTGTGATGTAAGAATTCTGGATTTTCAAAATATATTTACCTCCACCACAGTATGAAGCGGAGGGAAACAGAATATATTGAACACAGTGAACTGCTATGGAATTTGTCTTAAGCTTTCGGGAAGCGACTGGAAAGCCCAGAGGCATAGCCTGTCTTTAAAATATTAATATTGTCACAATTTAGGGGTGTGACTATAGACGGGGTATGGATTGGTGACTGGATTTATTGGCCACTTATACACACCACTCGGAACTACAAGTAGGTACAGCGCCACCACTAATTTCCTTGTTTCAAAAATCACAACAGTACCCACTAAGCCTTTTTCTAGCTTGCTTTGCCTTCATAATTCGTTCCCTCGCAACGGCTTCTAACAGTGCAGGTTCTTCAATTTCCAGCGCTCAGGTCCTATCTTCACAGCCTCCCTTGCAGAACTCAACACTACACCGACAACTGACACCTGCCAGTCTAGCGGCCACCACAGACTGACATTCAACTAACTCTCTCTGAACTGACAGTTGGGTCAGAGTGTGAGTTACTTTACGATTGGTTTCTTACCGCCAATCAATTCGCTTTGGCGACAAACCCCTTGAGACCCACGACCATCATTTTTTCCAACTCAACAATTGCGGTCATAGTACTTATGTAACATCCTCTCTAACGAGATGATAGGTCTGTCTTTTGCAATTGCTGCTGGCCCTCTCCTGCGCAGTCATTCTTAGGTCCGAGTCTCGCGGTAGTTATGACCGCATTTTACTCTCTCAGATTTGAGACTATCACAACTTGGAGGGCGATATCCCCGTATTTATATCCTTCAGGAATCGGATGGCCCAGTTATACCCCTTTCCGTAGCTTCCCACAATTAACTTCCTTATAATCACTTTGCACGGACGAAGCAGAAAACACCAGTTCCAACAGTAACAGTATTGTTGCGTACTTAATCGTTGCCGCAAGATCGTGTTTACCGATCCGTTGTCTATAAACGGGTTGCATAAAACCTTCGCTTATTCACCTAGTTCATGGCAACTGCTGTACATACTACAATATATTACCTGCTCGAGCTATTGGCAGGCTTAGATTTTAGAGTTTTTTCTTATATTACCCCTTGTAGCTGGAAAAACTCCAGCAAAATGTCAAATTGGTTCCACAGTTTCAAAATCAATTTGAAATCAGGACATGTAAGAGGGACTTCTCCCTTAATTCCTGCAGA